CGATGACGCGGGGCTCGATCCCAGGACCCCGAGATCATGACCTGAGCCGAAGGCAGATGCTTAACGATCTGAGCCACCCAGGCATCCCAAGATTTATTTTTTTTAGAGCAGGGGAGGGGCAGAGACAGAGGGAGAGAGTGAATCTTAAGCAGGCTCCACTCCCAGCGCGGAGCCAGACTCAGGGCTCAATCTCACAACCCTGAGATCATGACCTGAGTCAAAATCAAGAGTTGGACGCTTAATCGACTGAGCCACTCAGGTGCCCCTAAAAGTAATAAAGATTTTTTTAAAAGGCTGTCCTCTATTAGGAGATAAAATGATACAACATTCAAGAAGTTTGGCCTTAGGTTCCCATAGTCTTAGGCTTATATCATTTGACCCAGTAATTTCACTTATAGGAACATAGGAATATATCCTAACCAATTACCAGAAAGGTGGCTAAAAAGTTTTTGTATAGGACTGTTCTCAGCATTGTGTGAGCAATCACTTGGGGGAGAAAACAGCCCAACAACATGAGAGGAGTGAACAAATCATGGAACACTCAAATGTGGAATATTTTGCAGCTGTCAGCAATTGTGGTTCTTGAAGACATTTACTCTGGTCACCTGAATTCTGCTCACTCTGGTCACTCTGAATTCTGCTGTGTTTACTGGAAACCTCAGCAGTGACGGCAGATCTCAACTTGAGGTTTTCTCTGATCTGGAGGCCATCCATAGCCACCTAACTGGAGGCCAGACTCCATTCCTTTTCCCAGATGCTTAGTCTTTGCATTTATCTCCTTGGTTTTTTTTGGGGGGGGGTGGCAGTGTTCCTAATGGACACCATGGGGACTTCTATAGAGGTCTACCACAGAATAATGAATTCCCTATTCGCCAAAACACAGATGGGGAAGGCTCAAGTTCGTGCTTGAAACTGCTATGCTGACAGTGAAGGCTTCAGGGATTAGATGGCAAAAATAGGACCATCCATTGTTGAGGCATCAATGGAAATCTACTAAGTGCCCCTAGCAAAGGAACAGTAAATCCAGGTCTCAGTTACTCTTGTGATGAAAGCAGTTAGCACCTAGCACCAGAACAAGAAATCCACTGAACAAGCAGTTTAAAACAAATTTTTTTTTTAAATATTTTTATTTATTTGAGAGAGAGAAAGACAGATGGTAAGAGAGAGCATGAGCGGGGGGCGGGGAAGGGAGAAGCAGGCTGCCCCCACTGAGCAGGGAGCCCCATGCAGGGGCTCCATCCCAGGACCCTGGGATCATGACCTGAGGGGAAGGCAGACGCTTAACCTACAGAGCTACCCAGGTACCCCTGAATAAGCAATTTAAACCCATAATCTGCACCTTCTTCACCCAAACATCCTAGCAAGAGGGGTCCGATTTGGCGACTTTTCCTTCTCATCTAGCAAAACCTTCAGCCGCCTTGGTTTCACTCTGTGCCAGGAATAAAGACAGATCTCGTCCTTGCCCCTGGAGAGTTTCCAGCCTCAAAGAGAAGGCAGACTCAGGGTTCAAACAATTACAAGGTGGGTGAGTGTTGTTGCTGGAGTGTGTGGGGGAGGGGGGAGGGGGCTCACCTAGCCTAGGCGTGGAGCGTGGAGCGAGACCTCCCTGGGGAGGTGACATTTTGACGTTTAAGGCAAAGCCTAAGGGCAGGTAGGAGAACGCAGGGGCAGGCCAGGCCGTGCTCTGGGCGGCCAAGTGGAGGAGAGCCGGGGGAAGGGTGCCCAGGTTGAGCCAGAAGTCCCTGCCAGTGTGGCCAGCGGTGACCACAGCAGTCAGGATTTGGGGTTGTGCAGCGGCAGTGGGACCCCACTGAGGGGTTTCCCTACCTGGCCTTTCGCACTGTCCCCGACGCCCCCGCTGCCACCTGCTCTGTCCTGGGCACACCTTCCGGGGCATTTCGGCAGCGATCGGCCACCCGGTGGGCCGCGGCGCGGAGCCCGGCTGGGGGTGCCCCGGGCTCCGGCAGCAGGTACGTGCGGCGCGGATGGCGGGGCTCGGGCCGGCCCGGTAAAGTGCCCGGTCCCGGCTCCACGGGGCCCTGGGCGCACGCTCCTCCGTGGGTTCTCCCAAGAAACGGCCGGATTCTTCGGCTCGGTTTCCTGCCTTTGATCCTGCTGTTACTCCCCTAGGGGGGAGTTATTTATAGAAGGGAAGAGTTTGATCACCTCCTGCTCGTCTGGTTTTGCTTTTCTTATTCAAGATGCCCGGGGGCTGGATGCAATCATCTTTCCAGGGTTGAAATCTCGTTCAAAGCGGGCAGCATAAAGCAGTTCCAATTCAGCTGCGTCATCTGCTCTTGGCTTCTTCAGGAAACGGCCTTTTCTCTAGTTAGGGCTTTACAAGCATTTATAAACCCGGTAACGTACAGGCCCTGTGGTTACTGAGTTCCTTTCTCACAGTCTCAATTTCTCCTTTTATTCCACCAGATTTACTGTTATTTTATTGTAAACTGCCTGCAATGCTTTTGAGGCTAAGATGCAGGATTTGCATAAACTCATTTTATTTTTTTTGTTTAGCTATAGTATAGGTTTTTTTTTTTTTTTTAAAGATTTTATTTATTTATTCATGAGAGATAGAGAGAGAGAGGCAGAGGCAGAGGGAGAAGCAGGCTCCCCGCGGAGCAGGGAGCCCGGTGCGGGACTCGATCCCAGGACCCTGGGATCATGACCTGAGCTGAAGGCAGACGCTTAACCGACTGAGCCACCCAGGCGTCCCGGTTTTTTTTTTTTTTTGAAGTAGGCTCCATACCTAGCAAGGAACCCATCACAACCATAGATCAAGACCCTGAGATCAATACCTGAACTGAGATCGAGAGTCAGATGCTTAACCAACTGAGCCACCCAGGAGCCCCTATATTAGGTTTTTTTATAATTGAAGTGTAGTTGACAATGCTTTGGGTGTGGCACATAGTGATTCGACCACTCTATGCATTATGCTGTGTTCACCACAAGTGTAGCATTTAAAAAATACGTTTGCATTTAAAAAAAATCACAGGTTGACCTGCGAAGCAAGGGACACCAACAAGGAGCATGGCAGCTTTTCTGGACCCCTTCCTGGAGTCTTGATGCTGGTGCCTCTACAAAAACCCGGTGAAAACAAGAAAGCAGAGCCATGGTGGCCTGGGAATGTAAGGGGCTGCATGTAATGCTCCCATTCTCCCACTGATTCTTTCCACCAAACTTTGCTTTCCAGACCCATGAAACTTCCAGTAGCAAAATTTGATAACAGGTGTGAGGTTTTTTTGTTTTTTGTTTTTTTTAAATAAGCAGGGATTCACTTTCCCTAAGCATGGAAGTCTCAGTTCCTAGGAGAAAATGCCCCGGTTGGCTGAGGGAGAAGAGAAAATTCAGTTATTATGTGCCTCATCTGCTCCTTTTCATGGCCTTTGCAGCCACAAGGGGAGGACCCGTTGGTGTTGGGTGTTACCGAAGTGACTGTAATTTACACCAAGTTTGTTTTTTGATAAATTATCATCTGTGCTTTGCTGGGTGACATTCCCAGGGTGCTCTGCTGAAGGGCCCCTGAAGTTTTTGACCCTCAGTCCTGTCACTCCCAGTTGTCCCTTGATGCCCCTCTGCTTGTCCCTTTCTCAGGTCTCAGGCTCTGTCTGGGATTTTACTTGGCAAATCATGAGGCAGCAAATTATATTACAATGTTTCTGTCCTCCTTCCTACACATTGGGGGGTGGGAGGAGGATGTCTACTCTGAATTTTCTAAATTACTGTGGTGGACACTGATAGCAGCCACAGTCCAGAACTTGACACTGACTGCAATTTAAATCTCATTCTGTTGGGACATTAAATGATAACACCTGAAGTAAAGGTTCAAATGGTAGGGATGTGAGGCACTGTGACTGGTCGGCTCAGGAACATTTGGGGGCAGACACGCTTTTCCATGCCTGAGGAAGGCAACTTGATCTACTTGAAAGGAGACCTGCTTTGGGTAGACCACAGCCCGTTTCCTGTGCTGTTAGAAGGAGGTAATAATATTCACCCCTAAGAGTTAGGAGGATGAAATGAAAGCGTCTTGTTCTCCTATTCCCTTCCTTTTGACTCATCCAGGTGGGCTGTTCCTGGATCAGGTCACTACCAGGCCCTGTGTGCCCACCTCCTTCTTTTTTTTTTAAAAATTTTTTTTAAGATTTTTTATTTATTTATTTGACAGACACAGCGAGAGAGGGAACACAAGCAGGGTGAGTGGGAGAGGGAGAAGCAGGCTTCCCGCCGAGCAGGGAGCCCGATGCGGGGCTCGATCCCAGGACTCTGGGATCATGACCTGAGCTGAAGGCAGTCGCTTAACCGACTGAGCCACCCAGGCGCCCCATGCCCCTGCCCACCTCCTTCTTAATCCTCCGCCAGGACCATGTGGATGCTGTTATTCTCCAGGAGGACTGTGAGAACAGAGGCACCTGCCCACAGTCACATGGTCACTGTATGTGTCTGTGTCTGTGCCCGTGGGGGGAGCTGGGGATCTGGGGCAATATTTGAACCCAGGATGCCTGACTCCAGATGGATGCCTCTGTTGCTTCACCATGCAAACTGCAGCTCACACAGGCTCAGCCCTGGGCTGCTAAGAGGATGCAGTGCTAAGGCTTTTTCATTTTGGTTGTAAAGGTTTTAGTCAATTTCCACAGTCATTCATTTGACCTCTTTAACCAGCGTTTTAAAAGTGCGACCCTTTTTGTTCAGGAAATAGGAAGACAACTGGTGAGTGGGGCTCACCTGTTTGCTGTTCAGTCTCTGATCTATTGAGGTGGTTTAGACTTTTGAGTCTGCTGAGTGCTGTGTTTGTCTAATCTCTGGAAGCTTATGGTACTAATCGCCCCAACTGGAGGTCTTATCTGATGGGCAGGAAACTATTCACAGATGGTGACTCCCTTCCCCCAACTAGGAATGGATTTTTATGTGCATAGGACGTAAAGGACCACTCCCCTCTGTTGGATGAAGATAAATTTGCTTTCAGTGGAGAGAGTTTTGTGAGCACTTCGCTCTCTAGTGGCCAAGTAGGCAAAAGAGTCAAACAGTTCTCCCTCATCTTACAAATTGAGGTACGAGCCAGTTTAGTTTCAGAAACTTTTATCGAGCAACAGTGAGAAATACCAGGGTTATGAACGTGAATAAGACATCACTGCAGATCAGGTCCTTGTAAAGTGAATCACGTCGTAAATGTATTAGGATTTTATAGCTTGATGATCTGGTTTGTGTCACTCCTTTTTTAAATAGTTGAAAACTGGGACCCAGAGAGATGAAATGATGTGCTGAAGACTGTAAGGCTAGTTAGGGACAGGGGAGAAAATGCCACTGAAATTCAGTAGAAGGTTATCTCCTAATTTTTATGACTTTTTATTTTGAAATAATTTCAGACTTACAAGAGTTGCAAAAATAGTACAGAGTTCTTTGCTCGGCTTCCTCCAGTGTTAACATCTTACACAACCATGGATTTATCAAAACTAGTATATCAACTAAACTACAAACTTCAGATTTCACTAGTTTTTCCACTAAAGTCCACTTAGTTCCAGGATCCAATCCAGGGTACCACATAGCATTTATTACTTTTTTTAGATTTTTAAAAAATTTACCCTAGCATTTAGACTGCAGTTTTAAACTTTGTATTTTCCTGTACTTGAGGTTCTTTAAGATGTTGTTGAATCAGTGACATTCAGCTGTAGTACAAGAAATGTATCCCAAGCCTCTTTTGGTTTTGGAGCTGTTTCCAGAGCCAGCTGTTTGCCGGGAGGATCTTGATGAACCCTCACTTACAGCTTTTTGGATGTGTCCGAGTTCTGGACAATCCCAGCCTGTCTGATCTGGATACAAAAGGCTGCCCTCGGGGCCAGCAGCACCATAGTCTGAACCTTCTGCTTCTGTTCCCTCTTGGATCTTGAGTCTCATTTCTATTTATTACTGTTGTGCATAGAGCATTCTTTGCTCTCAGGTGCCTGGTTTATATGGTGAAGGACTTTGGAGTCAGAAGGACATAAATCCAGCCTCCAGCATCCCCACCCAGTTGTGGTACCTTGAGCAAGTCACTCATTTGCTCCTCTGCAGGATGGGGACAACAGCCTCCCTGCAGAGTCGAGAGGTCTAAATGTAAGAATATACACAGTGATTAGCATAGTGCATGATGTGCTGATGTGGAGAGAATAAACAAGTTGATGGAGGGCACGAGGGGGAGACTAGGCTAGCTGGGTACAATGGAGTCTCGAAGGCCAGGTAAGACACTGAACTCCCTGGTGGGCAGGGGTGAACACTGAAGGGTTTGAGTAGGGGAGCGATGAGATCAGAGTTGACCTTACAAAGTCACAATGTGCTGGATTACAGAGAGGCGGGAAGCAGGAAACCCACAGGGAATCATCAGGAGGCTATTGTGTTAGTTCCGATGAGCAGATGAGAGCAGAATGGGCACTTGGACTGGATGAGGGGTGGGGTGGAAAGATGAAACTCTCAAGAGACGGTGTGGAGATGTCATCCACTGATACAGAGGATGTGAGGCAAAGGCGGGACTCCAAGATGACTATGTTCTAGGTCCACGTGAAAAAAAGACTGATGTCATTAACTTAGCTAGAGAAATCAGGACAAAGAGGAAATTAGTGGGGAAAAAAATATAGTTGGTTTTATTCATGTTGCACTTGGGATACCAACAGAAGGGCCAAGTAGGTTTGGAGAAACAATGATTGTGGCCCTGTAGCCATCTGGACATCATGCCCAAAGGGTGGCCACTGAAACCCAAAGAGCAAATGGACCACCCTGGAAGAGAATGTAGGTGAGGCCGGAGTTGGGGGCAAAGACTCCTTCTAGACCAGTGGTTCACAGAAGGGTCAGAGAGACAGAACTAGGATATATCAGTTAGCCCTAGCTGCCGTAACAAGGTACCGCAGACTGGGCAGTTTCAACAGCCCAAATATATGTCCTCACGGTCTGGAGGCTGGACGTCCAAGATCAAAGTATCAGCAAGTTAGTTTCTTCTGAA